TGCGAGCCCCAAGAAGTAATTGAGAAGAAGACGACTCGATCGCTTGGACAGAACCGAAGAACTTCAGAAGGCGCGAAACTTACTGGAGGATCGCCAGTTTTATGTTTTTTTTTGAAACCAATCCCATCAAACGGTTGACACGCAAAATCAACTCGACCCTGTTGGCACTAGAGAACTCGGGTGCAATAACGCCTGTCCCAGCAATCGAGTAGTCTTCTTCTTTTCCCATCTTGTGGTTGACTGCCACCACTCCCGAAAAGCTGATCTTGCCAACCCGCCCAACCTCCTGTTTGTCCGCCGGATCTGATTTCGATGATGAACTCCGGTGTCCTCACCGGTGCAGAGGTCAAAAAACATGCTGCCTTCATGCATTGCTATTGTCGCCTCAAAGCATTCTGGGAAACCAGCTCAATAGTTTTGAGCGAAGAGGGGCGTTCCGACGGAAAGCTTGCCGCGAAAGATAACTGGAAGTGATTGCGAGGACGACACATTGATCGGAAGCAGTGTATGGAACTTCCTTCGTAGTTTTCGACCAATCGAGTCTTCGGCAGGAGAGACACCACAAAAGAACGCTGAGGTAGGGGTAGTCCTGTAGGGAAACGGGAACGCCCGAATTATCTCCTCAGTAGTCTCCCTCCACAAACTTTCAAGAGGGTTTGCTTCAAGGTATCGACAAAACGTTCCACCAGACCGTTAGATTGAGGATGATAGGGTGAGTATCTAGATGTTGCGTTGGGGGCAGAAATCTCAAAACGTCAATAAGGTGAATTCGGAGTCATTGTTCGAAATAAGAACATTCGATAGGCCATGCTGACTGAAGATACACTGTTGTAAATTGTAAAATATGGTTGCCAAATTTAGCGGAGTTATCTCTGGCCACTTTGAGCTGCTGTCGACTATGATAAGTTAAGAGACCCAATCGAGTGGGTCAACGAAATCGATATGCACACGTGACCAAGGTCTATCCAGCGCCTGTCATGATACTGACGGTTAACGAGCTAGCGAATGGAGACATTCTAAAAATATACCATCTAGTGGCATTATCC